GTCTATACGTATACGTATGTATGTACGACCACATGGGTGCTGATTGCACCGGTGCCAAGCAGAACCACCACCGCGAACGGGAGGCAGGAGCTGCACCGGAGCAGGGAAGAAACGTAGTAGCACACCGAGAGCTGACATGCATGTGTATACTTACCTGGAGGACAAGAGTGTGGAAGGACAGTTGGACGATACACGTGCGCTTATACATACGAGAGAAGGATGATGACGACGAGTGTACTGTCGTCGAGGTCGCGAGGAAGAAGAAGAAGGACCGATTTTTCGCACGAGCCTGTGGGTTGCAGAAGAAGAAGACCGGTTGATCAGCCTGGAATTTGTAGCTCAATTAAAGCCATCACCCGTGCTTGCTCCGCCCGACCGAGCTTTTCAACTTTGCCGGAGGAGCATTGTTTTTTTTTCCTTTTTTTTTTTTTGTTTTTTTTGCGCGCGATGATCGCTGCTCCTATACAGCTGCTCCTCGAAGAGTAAATGTCGACCGGTGCTGCTGCTACCGCGACACTTCCTCCGTACATGCGCGCACGTCTGCATAATCGAGATTCTTCATCGGCTTCGTTTCTCATGAGCTTCGATGCGCGGAGCCTGTTTGCTCTTACCTATCCATTTGGCGCGACCATCCTGGGTCTGTGAGTGCACGCGTTCGTCCACACGTGACGCCGCATCAAGGTTTTTCTTTGTACTAGACGTAGATGTATAAATGTGGTTCATACATGTGGTGCATTTTTATTCCCTCTCTCTCATCGATATGTACGTGTGATTAGGAACGTTTTCAATGACGTGTCTTACTCAGAGAAACATTGCCACCATGGACTTTCGTTACAAAAAATAGTTGACGTTATTTTCATCCAACGATCACTTGCAGTGACGCGCTTTTGGTCCCTCAAGCAAAAAAAAGCTTACCGATACAACAGAAGCAGCACAGGAACACATGTTTCGGCGATGGTGTCGCGTTGATTTATCATTGCGTGGAACGCAGATACAGGTACTCGATAAATTATATACACATGCGTGTAACCGTCGTTGGCATGGTGGAGGAGAGTTGGTTGTTTAGTTCATTTAAACTCGTCCGTGGTGTGTCGGTTTCAGGCACGCTAAGCACGAAGCTCGTCAAATGCCGTGCTTCCCGTCGGTGTGTATCGGTACGGGATCCCTGTGGTACATATATACGAATGGCTCATTCAACTTTTATCCTTGAAGTTGGCCGGATCTCGCTTTCTTTCTTCCTTTCCTTCCGCGTGTCAATTTTTGACTAATGTTAATGGAGCCTATAGGAGATTGGTTTTTTTTTTTACGATTTCACAAAGCTCAAACAAACATATCTGCAGTTAACAACGATTATTTGAAGCTTAGGAGGTTTCATCTTGATATCGTACAACTAGATTCGGCAGTCGTACTGGTACAACGAAGATAAGCATCATGTGTATTCTCCCTCCCTCTTGGACGAAATATGTATTCAATCAATTACATTGCTTGGATTGAGCAAAAACATAAGGTGAAAATATATTTGTCGCATTTAATTGTTATTGTTTGGCGCCGTTTAATTTTGGTCTCAAAAACCTTACATTACTTTTGTTTACACGTACGACACGGTATGCAGATCGAGACCTCGCTGCCACTTGACAGTGCACTTTATTCTTGCACATGTTGAGCTTTATCGTAATATAGACACTCAATGGCGATACCATGCGGGTTGCAGAGTTCAAAATCCTAACTGTACATCTTAAACGACATCCACGATTCGCTTGTACTACCATTTTACCGTAAACCACACGTGAAAGCAGCTAATTAGCGTGACGATTTTTTGCACCGTCTCTGTACGGCACAGCCTCGAGTCCCTCAGAAAGGCAGTACGCGGAGTATCGATAAGTAATTTATTTACGACAGTGATGCTCGCAACGGGGCTCTATATACGCGTGTCTCTCTGCATTCAAATATGGAGCGTCGCTCGCAAAAACAAGCCCCACCGCGCGGGCTTATTATTAATAATCCTCGGCTAGGTGGCTTCGATCGACCTGTACGAGGATCTTTTTCTTTTTTTTTTT